AAAAAATAAAAAAATAAAAAAATAAAAAAATAAAAAAATAAAAAAATAAAAAAATAAAAAAATAAAAAAATAAAAAATAAAAAATAATAAAATAAAAAAATAACAAAATAAAAAAAAATAAAAAAATAAAAAAATAAAAAAAATTAATTTAAAATTAACTAGTAGTGAAATTCACTAGCCTAAAAATTGTTAGGGTTAGGTTAGAGTTAGAGTATTAAGAATTTTTTTTTTGGAGTTTGCTAATTTACACCACAGGTGATAATCACTTATATGTTGTAAAACTACTGTATAATGCTATATATGGTGTAACACAATTAAACACTTTTAGTAATACAACAACTTAGTGTAATATAACACAATTGAAACCAGTTTAGTAATACTACAGTACTATATAGTTTAATATATAAAATAAACCGGTTCAAACAGTATAATATAATATAGTCGAAAAGAATATTAATAAACAATGCCAGAGTGTAGGATCGATTTCCATTCACATGATTTTTCGACATCAGTTAGCCAATTAGAAATTAAGATCAGTGTAATATAAAGAAAATTAAAACAAATATTTGCTTTGCAAAAAACCATGTTTATTTTGAAATTTAGACTAATAGATCGCTTCTTTTGCCCTAACAAAAAATTTTCTTTGCACAATTTTGCTATACTAAAGCTCTCTATAACTCTAAACTTTAACATAAATTATTTTTTTGTTTTGTAGCTATAGACATCAGGAAATCACATGAACAGAGAATCGATCCTATGCAATTTCATTGACCTTAACCCTACTTATCAATGAAGTTATAAGCATTACACTTTTATAGTGCAAATAGAACAGTTATGCAAAAAAAAAAAGATCAATTCAGTTCAAAACTATAAATAGTGTTGTTATCAACTATGCCCTTTATAATTAGAATTATGTCTCACTATCTTGACCTATTATAGTCATAATGAAGTTGATATAACTTTAATCATAGGTGCAATTATTTTATTAGCATTTAATATAATCTATAACCAAAAAGTTAGCCAAGGTTATAGCAAAAAATTGTCATACTCAACACTGTTAATAACGATGATTTAATGTTGCTGAACTAGATCAAATTGTATAATTATTTAATTCAATTTAAATAAAACTCTAGTCAATTGCTATTCAAGCTCATGAATAAAGATTCTTATATTAAGGTGCTTACAAAGTTTATTGTATATATCCACCTATTCTAACTACTTAAATTTCCCACTTATCATTTAATTGAGGTAACATATACACAATTAACATGCAATGAATTATATTGATTATATTTGATGTCTATGCTCATTATAACCTTGGCTCAAAATATTATCTAAAAATTTTTAGGTAGTTTTCTACATCTTGTCAAAAATATATCTGCCTTTTTCTATTAATATACCAAATTATACAGTATTGTAAGAATTGTCTCTATAAAATCACTTGTTAAATAAACAGTATTCAGTTTTTAATATAAACTAGATTCAACTTACATAAATCCTTTCTACGTCGGACAAGTCCTAACATTATACCCATAATTCCCACAATTAGCACACTTGTTTTTTCTTTTTTTAGGTTCGTTGTTAGTCAGTGCTGATTTGAAGTTTTGTAAATTTTGAGAATTAGTAATATTTTCAAGTGCATCCTTGAATCTTTTTGGTGGCCGACCCCAACGTTTGGTTACAAATAGGTTTGCAACTTTAACTTGTTCTTCAATCATGTTTTCATCAAATTCTTCTTCTTCGATAGCTTGCTTATCTTCTATCTGTTGTAGCTTACGTGTTTTTGCTAAAATGAACCCTTCTATTATTTGAAGAAACTCATTATCACAATTAAGTCGTATCATTAAATTTAATGCTTTCTTGGATCTTCCATATCCTTTGGACCAACAGTTTTTCTCATTGACAGACTTTTTCAAAACAGGAGTGAATACATTACTAACACGAAATTGTGCTAGATACCTGAAATTAATCGTACAGTTATTATTTTCAGGTAATAAATTTTGGTTAGATTCGCATAATCTAATAGATAGGAGTAAAGCAATAAGATTTTCATCTTCACTTATATTATTTTTGTACCATCTGCTTGATATCAAAGAAATGTGAAATCTAGCTAAATAAGATTTCATAAGAACTTTAAAAAAATGATGGCAAACGATTCCCTTGTTAATTAAAGTTAGACAAGTACATAGATGTGTACCATCTACAAGTAGCACAACATGATTATTAAAACAATTTGGAAAAGATCAGTGTGGAGTTATGACCCAGGTCTGTAAAATGTCTTCATGGCTTAAATTTTGTAGAAATAATCTAAGACTTATTTGACGATGTTTATAGTCATCTTCAAGACACCTGTACTCTATAATATTATCTGGTTCTGGAAAACTTTTATTCTAATCAAAAGAAAGTTCTGTTGCATTATATAAGAAACTTTCAGAAATTTGTTGTCTTTGAAGGGAGAGGACATGTAAAGTTAAATATTCCTGAATTAAAGAATCGATAGTAGAAAAATATTTATTCATAACATGGGGCAATCCAATAGTAGGGTTGGTATTTTTTTGTTCATTTATACGTGCATAATTTGCTTCTTCATTTAACCAATTCTGTATTGCATCAATCAAATGTAACAATGTTGTGCTACGTGATACTTTTTTCTTAATAATTGCATTGATACCTTCCACCCGTTGAGTACTTTGGATACCAGCAGTAAAGCGTGTTTGTATATAACAAATTGCTCAGCTATGACGTGTAGTATAAAGAGTTTCAAGTGCATACTGTGTTGCTTTGGGGAATGGTTTAAAAAATTCAATAAATCATGCCCAGCGGCGCTTAAAGTCAACTTCAAACAAACTATTCCGAGAACGACAAAAAAGTCTATAATATTCATCGAATTGTTAACCCATGATGGCTTAATTTTTTTAATAAAATTGTTGTTCATGTGAAATATGCAATGAGAATGATGTGTATGTGGCCATATGTTTTGTAAAGCTGTGTCCATAGCCGGATCAGCATTTGAATAGATAGTCTTTGAAGTAATTTCATTAGTTGCAATATTTAATTGTTCTAAAACCCATTCAAAAGAAGCTTGTGTTTTGTCTTTTAACAGCACCTGTGCAACAATACGTGAGCAAGTAAAATTGTTAACAACTAGAAAAAAGCATAAAGCCATGTCATAACGATTAGTTTTACAAGTATTATTCATCATCACTATGTTATGAAATTGAGTCCATAATAAGACTTGCAACAGAGACATTCAAAAAAAAGCTGTTAACCTATTTTCTTTGCCTTGAATATTAGGTACAACTACCCCAATTAGAGTCTTCAGCTTTAAGGCTATTAGCCTTTTCAAAGTTTTTGCAGCATCATTTTTCAAATTCTCTCGAAAAGGTTGTCGAAATCATTGAATAGCATTATATATATCTTTTTTATTGATATAATTATCAGGATGTTTTGCTTTTAAGAGATTGTACTGTAAAGTGGCACTAATACCCTCTGTAGAATAGGTGTAAAATTCTATATCTTTAATCATCTCCTTTGTTAATTTACGAAAACATGGTGCCATTTGAGTAATTAAGGAATTTAATTCATGGTTATGGCTATCAACAAATGAAGTACAAACAATCTTAGTAGTTCCCTTGTGGTTGTTAAAATTAATATGCCATTGACAGTTTATTGTTGCAGAAGACCATTCACATTGCTTATTAATATCAACTATTTTTTTAATCCTATATGCACGTGAATATAAACATTTATAACTATGATAGTGAATGCTAGAACAGCCTAAATGATGATTATTTCTACTTTGAAGAAATAAGAACCCTTTATATCTTCTATATGATTCTACCAACTTGTCTATGTCTTCTCATGAATAGAGTGTAAGGCCAATATACAATAGTGTGAAGCTTTCATTTGACTCATCATTACTTAAAGAATTTTGTAAACTATTAGAAAAAATTAGCATGCTAAAATATTAGATATCAGTCAAATAAATAAATACTGCTTACTCTGTCTCATTTTCTGAACTAAAACTTTGGCTATTATAATCCACTAATAGCAAATTACCTCTTTTATTTTTAGAATTAATGGCTTGATGGTTACGAATTACTAATGGCAAATCGACTGTTTCATATCCCAAACTAGAGATTTAAAATATGACTATTAATCATGTTCAATTATTGGTAAAATCCAGTACAGTGTGAAACTGACTTTCCATAATCTTGGTTCTGCACCCAATTATTTGATATCGCAAAATCAATAGGTAATTAATAAACAAACAGATTAGAAATTTATTGCACAAAAGGATTAAATGATATCAACATGCAGTAAAATGACCAAAGTCAACAAATTATTAAAATTCATGATTAATCGCATTAAATATTGATAAGAACTAGTATTCAACAATCCAATATGAAACTGACCTCTAAAGCCTTGATTTTGCTCAAGATTATTTGATACCTCAAGGCCACTAGATAATTAATAAAGCAAACCAGTTAGAAATTTAACACACTATTATTAATATTAAGCCGCTTTACTAACCAGTCAGAAATTTAACATACTATTATTAATATTAGGCTGCTTTACTAACCTGAAATCTTGTTCAAAAGGGTCTGACATATAGTAAAATAACCCAAGATTATTGGTTTGTTCATGATAATTTAATGATGACATATAGTAAAATGACCTGAGATTATTGTTTTGTTTATGATAATTTGATGCCAACATATGGTAAAATGACTCAAGATTATTGTTTTGTTCATAATAATTTGAGATCTCAAGATCGCTTAATAATCATCAATAAGCAAACTAGTTAGAAATTAAATTAATATGTATATACTGCTAACGCTAAGCTGTTTACTAACCTTTGAAAATTTTGTATAGAAGAACTAAATGACATCAACATATAAAACAACCCAAAGTTATTGTTTTCTATTTTACTCACTATATGTCTTGCTTTTTTTAGACAAACAAAAGAAACCTGATCAATGTTTGATTACGTCCCTTTATTTATTTACTGATCTGGAAAACAATATATGTATGTACGTATATACGATATTTTCAAACCCAGACTGATCATTTAGATTTTACAGTAGCATAATATAAAATATTCTGTGTAACAAGTGATTATCACCTATAATAAATATAAAATATATATTGATTATTTGTATTTTATAACAATAATATAATATAAAATAACTTGTGTAACTTATAGGTGATTATCACCTGTGATGAATTTTAGATATATCTTTTTTTATATAAAATAACATAGAGCTAATAAAAGGTTCTAATCCCAGTTTTCATGAAGTTTTCAGGGGTTCTGAACATTTTTACTTAGAGTATCTGATCCTGTTTACTTAGTATGTTTTTGAGATATAGCACCCCAGTAAATTTTACCTTCGGTGAGTATTAAGATCGCTCAAATAAAAAAATAAAAAATAAAAATAAAAAAATTAAAAATAAAAACAAAAGAATTAGTTCATAAGTATTAATATATAACTCTTTCTGACAATTACTTTGAAGTTATCTAAAATTAGTTATAGAGTTAAAAAGTAAATTTAATATTAAGATAAAACTTTATATTTAAAATATACAAATATTATATTTGTTATATAATTTTATTAGCTTTATACAGTGTTTAATAAAAAATAAAAATAAAAAACAAAAAGAATTTTAGTCCTAATAAATAGTAGTAATAATTACTATAATTATTTTTAGAGCTAGAATATGAATATTAAGAATTTTTTTTTTATATAATATATTACTTAATATATTTGAGATATAGTATTAGAAATTGTTATTTCTAGTTATAATTAGCAAGTTTAAATAAAAAATTAAAAAAATTAGGCTAATTTGTTTGCTAAAATAATTTTTAAAAAGTTTTTAAATTTATTTAAACTCTTTTTTTCTATATTTGTTTTTAATAATATATTTAAATTTTATTATTTTATCTTTAATTTTAACAAAGATATTATATTTTCAATAAAACTAATTTTTTATATATACCGTATATTACTGAATAAAAGCTACCCCCGAATAGAAGCTACCCCTCGATTTTGGATCCAAAAATCTGAAAACGGTTACTATGTTTTAAT